AATTAGTTAACGGAAAGATTAATGTGGAAAACGAATACGGTGAGGTGTACGAACACAATAAAGGAGAGTGAGACACGTGTTAAAATCGTACGAAAGAAAATGGCGAGATATTGCTTTGTGCGGGGTGAGACATGTTTGGAAAGGATAGTCCTTTATTTGAAGTAACGGAAATTTTCGGGTGCGTAGTGGAAGACCGACCGGCACAAGCACGTGCGCGCAAGCGAGGGTGAGAAAGAGAAAGAAAAAGGGCGTGGAGGGGGGAGATAGCTACAGTGCGCGAGGCTCAAGCAAGGAGAGTGCAAACTAAGGTGAGACAAAGACAGAGCGTGGTGGCGTTCTCTTTGTCTCTCACTTTCCATACAAAAGCACGTGCTTATAACTGCGCACTAGATCGTTCCGAAACATCGCGAAACCATGGAGAGAAACGTACTTGCAAGTCGCGGCGAGAAAGACTAATAAATTGAAATTTCAGCGTGCACGCACTCACACACACGATATTTAAATAAATATACAATGATAATTGTTTCAGCCGACACCAGTTTATCGGGTGTGTGGGAGACATTGACCAGCATGTTTAAGTTAGATGAGTTACACGAGAAAGATGAGATAACGATTGACATAGACTGTGAGGAAATCTATGTGAAAACAGAGAGCGGCAAGTGTATGTTGGCATTGAATGAGTTAAGGTGAAGTGGAAAATAAATTGGTAAATAGTTCGAACTAAGTGTATGCATAAAGCTTGGGGGTGTATGTGTTGAGTAGGCTAGCATACTCACACACGAGGTGTCACACTGTCAGCTTTCTGCCAAGGCACTACATAAGTGTATGTACACACATAAATCTCGCAGAATCGAAAATAGCCCTATATATATGTGAATATATATGAAAGTAGATTCTGAAGCTCCTGACGGTCTGGGGGGTCATGTGGGCTTGCTGTTCGGTCTACAGGCCCCCGGGGACTGGGATGAATACAGGAGAGATTTTGTAGTACGGGTCCTCGAGTATTCGTTCCTCCTGGAACTAGCGATACTTGTAGTTCGGTTGGCTGGTTCCAGGAAAATTTCCTAGGCAAAGCTCATAGAAAACAAACACTTCTCGTACAGAAAAAAGAATGCTGAAGGAGAGATCATGGAATAGCCTAGTTGCCTGGCACGAGGAGAAGTTGCTGCTTGGCAAGTCAACGACCATGCCTGGGAAGAAACAGGAGACTGGCCCAATTGTCTCCCAAGAGCGCGAAGGCGAGAGGAAAGACTAGGAAATCATAGACGTGGACACAATCGGTGAGAAGGAGAGTGAGCCACGAAAACAGGTAAACCCGAACTAGGTCCCCGAATTATAGACGACGTAAAGATTGACTCCGATCCCAAGCGAATAAAAGTTATGAAAATAGGAGGAAAATCTGAACCCTCGAGCAGTAGAACTAAAACTAATATAGGTAACATTTCAGTGTTGGTTAGAGTAGAACAACAGGAGAGAGAGACAACGGAACTAATACAATCCGTCAATAAATTATGCGATATCTCAGCGCAGGCCCTCAGTCAATACCAGGAGTCAGTAAAGAAGATAGAGACCGTGGCGGTAAATGTTAATGACATGATGTGTGAGGTGAGGAAAGAATTAACATCGTGGCGAGAGAAAAGAATAACGGAAAGTCAGAGATCAAGAGATCTCAGACAAACGGTGAGGGAAGACCACGCGACACAGATCCAGCGGGTCTACGAAATGGTGAACCAGCTGTCTGACCTGTACAAACAGCTGGATAAAGGTGAGGAGGGGAGAAATTATGCTGAGAGCTCCAGCGAGCAGCAATACGAGGTGAGAAATCTAAAGAAAAGAGATTCAAGACCAAATACAAACATAAACAGATTTCAAGAAAGAAATCGCAAACGTAGTTAGGTCAGAAATTGAAAATTTAAGAAACGTAAAGGTGAGTCAATTTAAAGACAAAGAAAACAAAGACATTTTGAAATTAAAAATAGTAAATAGCGGTGGGTCTATGAGGCGAGAGTATAAACTGAATAACAACATTAAATTTGAACACTTCTACGACTATCTTTTTTCAGAATTGAGAGCCTGTGGTCTATTGCATGTAATAAGCGACAACGAAAACGTAGGTGGGATAGACGAGAATATTTTGAAAGAACAACGATTCAAGGCTAGAGATGTGATAATCAATTGGTTAGACCAACAGTATTACTCAAAAATAGCAAATCTGTCAAATCCAATAGATATCCTTGAAAAACTGAAAGAAGCTAAAAGAAGCGAGATAAATGTAACGTCGCATTCGGTGAGGAAACAGCTTTACAACATGCAATACATCATAGGAAAAACCACAGCCGCTAAATTCTGTGATAAATTTGAAGAAACAATCAGAAACTATGAAAACTCTCCTGGGGCGTGTCTTTCGTCCGAAGAGGAAAAAAGAAACGCATTTTACAATGCGGTAATGATTTCAGTTCCTAACATTCAGACTGTTGAGTTTGTTAAAAATTCTAAAGGCGCAACAATTTCATATAATGATTTGAAACTCCTCGTAATGAAGGACGAAGCGATGAGGAACCAAATGAGCGGATCGAACGTGAAGGTGAGATCAGCTAATCAGGCCCTGGTAGACAGCAGAAGATGTTATGAATGCCAGGCCTATGGGCACAGGTGCAATGTGCCCAAACCGAGACCAGAGAATAATGTGTTACCATTGCAAAAAGATAGGTAACCACAGGGCCCCAGACTGCTCGTACAAACCCGGCAGCTCTAGAGGTATGACTAAAAAAGGAGGAGCCTTCAGAGAAAATTCAAGGTATAATAGCTGTAACAAATTCAGTAACTACACTCGGGGTTCGGACAGTAGACTCGGGCAAAAAGGTATGCTGAGAAGGAAAAGGGAGATTGTAAAGACAAGTAAAGCAAAAAGGAGTCGATTCAATGTCCATAAAAGTAGGGGAAGGCGGGTGTACAAAAACGTAAACAACAGAGGTGGAAATCAGCCAATAAAGGATGAGAGCAAAGGTGAGTATAACAATAAACGCAACACTGAAAGTTCGAGTAGAAAGGGAGATATCTTTAACATTGCGGATAGAAATCCAATGAGCCTATTCGCTAGTAACATTGAAAATCAGGTTGGGTCCATCCCAGAATTTATAGCTGACTCAGGTGCGACAGAGCACATAAAATCGAACAAGCACATCTGCCGAACGCAGACGTATGTGACCGATGCACATAAGATAATAAGATTTAGATAATAACCGTAAACGAACAAAAAATATACTGATCGCATTTAGTTGGTTAATAATAAAAGAGAACAACTTGAATATTAGTTTCTTAAATATTCTTTATTATAATTTTTAAAAAAATTACTTAAAAGAAAAATTATTTAGCGATCAATTAGTAAAGAAACTGGCAAAGTCTACTTCTAGGGACAATTTTGAAAAATCGCAATCGGTACATTCCTTGCGGAGTAAACGCCGAACATATAAATGAAACAGTACGTCTTTTGCAATAAAAATCGTTAGCAATGAAAAAATGCAACATTTTTTTGGGTCCAATCTGTTCTGAGCTCGCATTCACGTTTAGACTTTTCGATGGTCGGTTAAGTCAACAAAGGTTGTAAGTCTTCGTCCGAACTAGGGTAAGTGTGCGGTAAAGATGGTGGATCAGGCGTCCACCAGCCAGGAATGGATGCACTTGCTGGGGCAAGTGTGCTATGATGGAAGAAGGATCAGGCGTCTGCCACGAGACAATGCACACTTACTGGGGTAACTTACCCCAGTAAGGGAGCGGTAGAGATGATGGAGCATGCGTCCACCATCTACTTGGATAAAGAGTAGTTCTACTTGGATCAGGCGTCAGTTACGCGTCAGAGACGTTATCCGGGATATTTACTGAAGCAAACTAGGAGAATTCCGAGCGAAGGTCGCCGAATGAACAGAAGTTGTTCACGAGGAATTCTGCACAAGACTGACTGCGTTGACAAGGCTGTCAACGAGGAACCCTCGAGGGGTGTGTCGACCGTGTAGGAGTTGACCAGGAAAGGACAATCGGCAGGACTCAAAATGGTGATGAGACCGACTGGCAGCACGGCAAGCGAATCTGGTCGTGAGACAACACCCCGTTTTGAAGAGCCAAAAGTAGCGACATCTGCGGTGCATGTGAGGGTCGTTGGTGCTTGTCTTGTCCTTAAAGGACAGTGTCGGGTTGGTTCGACGTTAGCAGACCCATGCACAGCAGGGAGTTTATGATGATAGAAGGAATGTCCTTCGTGAAGTGGTACGTTAAGTTTGGTTCCCAAAAAGGCTATTTGGTCATAGTAAGCATAGGAAATATCGTGAAAGGATCGTAAAACGTCTGTCGATAGTTACAGTCCAATTGTATTTTCGGACACAAATCCCTCTTTGTTCGAGCTTATTTCTGTCTTAGGGGAGTAAGTTTCCAAATTGTAAAGCAATGACTTTTACGTGTTCAATTGCTGCCTTGACTCGCTTAAGAGACCTTTATGGTAAAGGCATTTTTCTAGTGAATAGAATTGCTCGAGGACGGAGTCCAAGCCTTTCATGGTTGGTGTAATAAATTAAGAATAGATATCCGCATAGGCATATGGTAGCCATGTACCACGTAACACAATCGAAAGACATATTCTCCAAGAAGGTTTCTTACTCTACAAAAGGTTTCGTTCCGATTGGTCCACCCGTCTCGGAGTAATCGGTGAACATACATTTTAAAAAAATATACAGCTCGAATTGAGTAACCACCCTCCCTTTCGAAGTCGGTTAAAAAGATGATGCACTTGTCACAAATAGTATTAATCAATTGAGGAAAAGATAGGACAAAGTTATCAAATTAAACGAACAGTATATAAATACGTAGAAAGTAAATAAAAGTATGAAAAATTGTTATTATGCCTTTATTACTTAAAACCGATTGAATTTTTGCAGCTACCCAATATAGTAATGTACAATAAAATTAACTGTAAAATAGGAATTTATTAACATAACATTAATTCTCACCTGACAAATATCTCGACATGGAGGACAAATTAGAGCACCTTTATGAAGCCAACTATTTTGCATTATTCTAATAGCGATTTCTTGACCTGCATGATAACAGGTATAAGTGTAATTCGCAACCTGTAATATAAAACAAATTTTATATTGTATATTTTAAGAAACAAAACATTATTTAAATAATTACTTATTTTACAGTAATATAATTATTCAGCAATGTATGCAACTCGTAACACTAACCATAATATGTAATCTTCCAGCTTCACATTTGTATTGATAACAACCAGAACCCCAATGTTGCCACTGTCGAGCTTGCTTGCAGGTTCTTTCTTCCCACATTTGATTTGTATGATCGAAGCATCGCGAATGTGGTCCATATTTTTCTAAAGCAAAATTCTTGTCTGGATCTAAACAATAATTAAATAAATAATTAATTAACTTGAATTAGTACGATAGTAGACCATTTAGTAGTAAACCATTTGTTTTTACCTTAAACGATCAAAGGATAACCATTTGTTAACAATACTAAAGGTAAGAAATTATAATCTGAATTAACAATTTATTATTTCCTATACCAAAATAGATTTAATTTACAGGGTGCTCCCTAAAGAGTGCAAAAGCGATGAGGAGGTAATTGCCGAGGTAATTCTGAATAATTTTTTTTCGCTAAAATATCAGTTAACACTTCACTTTTGAATTATTTACAAAGAACACTACACAATTCGACTGCGTGAGCTGAATTACGAGAATGTTGGTTACTGACTACGTTTGACGGTGGTCGTGAACAAGCACGTCGACACCGCGTCGGACTCCGTGAACAAAGCACCACTCTGCAGGTAAAAAACTTTTTCATTTACTTTTGCAAGAAGAATGTGTAATTTCGTTGAATCTGAGGTTCGTTGAGATTTTTGAAAGCAGAATAGTGCTCTGATCAATGAGTCTAACGTACAGTGTTCCAAAGAGTCTAGCTGTATAAGCATAGTGAATCGGTTCTAGCATGCTATTTGTCTAAAGAACAGCTGCAGACAATTTTAACCCCCTATCTCACCTGATAAAGGAGATATGAGGGTAACAACCATAAACTTTACTATTTTTTTCTCGAAAACTGTTTAAGATATTTTAACATACTAAAGTGCAAATAGTAGGTACTCATTAGTAACTTTTATCCGCTGAAAATAAATAAATTTTTGAAGTTGATTTATATAAACAATCCCTTGAGTGACACCCACCGAAAAAATTGAGAATTATCCTTCTCTACTTAACTGTTATCTGTAAAAGTTTCAAGAGTGTCAGATGGGTACAACATGGTTAAAAAAAATAAAACCCATGCAACGCCTCTTCATAAGACAAAGCCAGGCTGAACGTTAATGACGCTCAACTTAACCGATCTACAAGAGAACACATTGCACCTGTCCGCCACGTATCTCATACCAGAAACAACTTGTAGAAAAATATGAACTCTCCTTTCCCAAAACTATGTATTTTTGAACAAAGAATTTGGTTAACAGTCATTTATTTAAATAAGAGATTAACAATTTAAACTTTTTAATTAAGTTTTCTGTTCTTAACTTTTAACATCCGTGTTTTCACGGTGTTCCTCGTTTTAAGTCCTGAGAAAAGTTAATCGTGTTTTAGGGTACAAATGGTACATTTAATCCTCTGCGATATATTTTAAAAATTGGCGAATTATTATAACAGTTATATTAGTATTATCACTAAGTTGTTCATTTTTAAAAGATAAATTTTTGTTAATGTGGATCCAGCTCTATTAAAAAATCGAATGCGGTGTTACGATTCCTTCTCGGAAATTTCTTTATATGGAGTCGGATGTGCACACCCGGCATAAACAATCATCTAGAAAATTCGAGACCAACGCGAAGCAAGGTCGCGGTCCCTCGGGTCACATAGAGTCCATCCCCACCACTCTTTTTACTCCAATTGTTAGGTATAAAAAGGGTGGCGACGAAGACGCCTTGGATCTAATTGAAGTCGGATAATCTCAGCAACGAGGAAACTCTGCGAGATCGGGTATTCAAGTACCCTTCAAGCACTCAGTAACTAAACAGTACGTTGTCTGCTGTTAAGCACTATTCGGCTCGCTGTAGTCCGTCCCCGTTTGTTCGCGTTCGTGAAAACCGAGAAGGATTAGATTTTTGCTTCACGGAATCGAAACTAAACTCTTATTATTCAACTCACTTAAACTTGTGAATTGGAATTTAACTCGTTGAACACCGTGACAATTACACACAACAATTATAAGGTCTCGGCAAAGAGAATACATTCATATTACATATTTAACTTATCTATTACTGTTCAATTATATTGACTAGTCCAGAAAACCCACTAAGGTATATCTTTACCACTCGAGGTACACCAATCAAGTTACGAGACCTAATACTAACATTTCCTGTGGCTCCATACGTTAGCCATACGTAGATTCGTCTCCGCGTCTACTTCCTTAGGCTCCCAGTGCTAATAACAGCACTGGTTAAGCCATTAACAATACCATAACCAAAATTTTGCCCCGGCTACGCAGCCGCCCCCTCCGGCTCGTATTAGCGGTATGACTGTTAAGCGCATTTTTATTCAAATAATATATCTGTAGGTGAATATTGTTCTATTATTCACCTGGCTCGTGGAGAGTGAATTAATTTAAACTAAAATGTTTCGAATTTTAAATATTCTGTTTTAAATAATTTACAAAGCCGCAGCACCGTTGTAAAGAACATAGGCTTTTATGAACAATACTGTCTAACTTTCCATAAGCACGAATAATAGCGCAGAACAGTTCTAATATTTATTTTTAAGGACAACGGTGAAAACTTGTTTAGCTCCCACTTACTTAAAACGCGCGCGCGCGTGTGTGTGTATATGTGAGTGTGTGCGATGAAAGTGAACGCGAGTCACCGGTCCACTGGAAACAGCGTCCGGTATGTAAAAAATAGTAAAAAAATACATTATTATTCTCGTATACTTTCATATATATATATGTGTTACTGTGAAACACCGAAATTAGTGAATGTCAACATTTTCCGGCGAATGTCGACACATATCAAAAACGTCGGCGAAAGACCGAATATTTCTCAATATTATCATACATTCGGACCTTCGCCGGCAGTTGTCGACAAACACAGATGAGCTCTAGTGAGTGTCGGAACGACACGTCTGAACAGGATGATCCCGTCGTCTAGCGCAGTACGAAGTGTATTGTGTTGTTGATGTTCGTCAGTTTCACGTAAAATGTCACAGTGTGCTTGTAGCGTTTGCTAATTTGTTTTTTTTTATCTGATACTCTAATGATGGATAGTGCATTGAACCGTGATATTTTTTTTGATAAATCAAATGCATTAATTGGAAGTAAACAAGAAGACACTTGTTTTTATTTCTCTCAAGAAAGGTACTCTAAAATACTTTCAGAAGTTAGTTCTGCTAAAACTAAGTGCAGTACACCTTTGGATTATAGACGTTTAAAACGTTTCGACATTTTAAAAATTACTGATGAAGAAAAGTTGATTGTGCCATTAAAACCTGGAGAAACGAATATCCAGTACTACGTTACCAATGATGAATTGTTTAATATTCTTTCCGAAAGTCATATTAGAACAGGCCATGGAGGAAAAACATGTATGCTTAAAGAATTGCAAGTTAAATACAAGAATATTACATATGAAGTTGTAATGTTGTATTTAAATTTGTGTAAACAATGTCAAACGAACTGTGCGCCTAAAAAAGGTATTGTTGTGAAACCAATGGTTAGTTCGGAGTTAAACTCAAGATGTCAAGTGAATCTGATAGACTTGCAGCCGCACAGGGATGACGATTACAAGTTTACATTGGTATATCAAGACCATTTGACGAAATTTGTCCAGTTACGACCATTAAAAACCAAGACAGCAAAAGAATGCCACCTTCTTCATATTTTCCTAACATTTGGTGCCCCAGCGATATTGCATTCAGATAATGGTAGAGAATTCATTAATCGCTTCGTATCTGAACTATGTGCTATGTGGAAAGATATCAAGAAAGTTCACGGAAAGCCTCATCATAGTCGAATACAAGGCTCAGTCGAAAGAGCTAATCAGGATATACAAAATATGTTAACTGCATGGATGAACGATAATGATTCAAAGAAATGGTGAGAAGGTTTGCCCTTTGTCCAATTTGCCAAGAACACAACTTATCACGAAGGAACACACCAGAGCCCATATGAAACCCTGTTTGGTGTTAAACCAAAAAGAGGCACAGCATCCTCATTTCTGTCTTGCAAGCGAATTACAAATATTGAAACCAAAGAACAACTCGAAGAAATTGATAGTAGTTTTACAGGAAATTTAGACAGTGACTATGTTCCAATTGGAAATGAGGATAACTAAAATTCTATAGGAGAAGCCGCAGTCTTGCATGTCTTCATCTCAAGCATTGACTAAACAAAAACACGAGGATTACCAAAATACTATTCAAGAGGAGCCGCAACCTTGCACGTCTCCATCTCAAGCATTGACTGAACATCACGGGTTAATTTCTGCAAACAGAGCAGCCGCAAAAGAGAATCTTTTATTTCAAGCAACAAAAATGTTACGAACCTCAAAAAGAAAATTTCCTCTCACCCAAATTGGTGACACCGTACGAATACAAGTCCCTGATGTTGACCGTGGACGTACAGATCGCCGAAATGTGTTAGCAGTTGCTATTAAAATAGATGATTCCGACTTTTATAAATTAGCAAATAAAAGTGGTACCCTCAAGCAGCTTTTTGCCCGTAATCAGTTCGTAATTTGTAAAGAAAAGTTACTTTCTCTGGATGAGATTTATACTCAAGAAATATCGCTGAGAGAAGCAGCTTCAGCTAATTCGAAAAGTGGAGGACAAGGCTATACACGCTGTAATTGCAAAAAGAAGTGTTGCACGACTAAATGCAGCTGTAAAAGCAAAGGACTCTTGTGCAATTCAAAGTGTCATAGCAGTTTAAGTTGTTCCAACAAATAAGATTGTAAAACGTTAAATCACACGAATTTCATTTGTTTTTTTTTATATTGCAACTTTTATTAAAATTACGTGTAGATTTATTATTGATATTATTTTAGTTTCTTTTATGAATGTACTGTTTATTTCAAGTTTAATAGTATGATTATATGTGGTATTACTTAAACCTTCTCTTATTATGTTTTTTTTTATAATAAATCATAATATACAATTTTTTATTTTGTTTGAATTAAAACTGACATTCACCATCAGTGCATACTGATTGTCGACATTCGTCGGTGTAAGTGAGAAATAATGATATTTGGCAAATATTTCGGACATACATAAATCGACTTGGTGAATGTTGACATTTACTGGAGGATGTCGACATTTACCAGATTTCGGTCTTACACGGTGAAATATTGTATATCGTTTCTTACGCCCGCGTCCCATCTTGTTGTTATGTGCGGAGTAGGCGTAGTGGTAGGTGACTACTCTGCGGTATGTTATAATCCGACGCAACGCTTAAACACCTTCTTTGTGAAGAAAAGATATTATAGGATTCGGATTCGGTCTAGACTTATACAAGCCTCTCGCTCGTTGGATACAAGGTTTGGAAAATACGCACTAAATAATTATCAAAATTGAATAAATAACTATTATATATTTTGCCAAAAGAAATGAAGTATGAAAATATAATGGGTATCCAAAAGATATTACAGTTTCCTTAACTACTGAGGACAGAGTATCCAGATTTTAGTTGGACTCACCGGATATTTAGATGAACAGAAACGATTAACGAGTTTGATAGATCGCTCCAGTGATGCCAGAACCGTGGGACGTGGGACAAACTTTTACCCTCTCCACGACGTCCCACGACGTCCCAGTGACTCCCCTACCGCAGTTATTTCATCTAACACAAGCGCGTTATCCCACGTGTCCGTGTGAGCTCTGCGGGTTTGGCAGAGTTCGGCTGCTCTCGTCATTTCTACGTTATCGGCTCGATACTCAAGCCGCTAAAGCACGTGGCAGCAGCATCGACGAATCGATAAAATAATATAATTTCGTCCATGGCACTATGGTAGAAGTGAGAAACCAGGAGATTCAGTTCGAATCCCGATTCTACGGTTTCAGTTCTGATTCTTAATGCATTAACGTTTTTTTAATACATAAAAATACATTTTTAATACATTAATACTATGAAATACATTAACTTCGGAAGCAGTTAAAAAAAGGAGTTGAACTGCTTCCTTTATTGATATTTTTTTTAATATTTAAGTTTTATATATGTACATATGTATGTACGTGATACAAAAGTGATTTCTTCAATTAGATATTACTGTGATTCTATTTATTACAATACGTAAATGCGAAGACATACGAGGAAAATTGGATAGGATAGAATGTAAGGATATAAAGAAATTTCAATCTTTTACGGTCTGTTAGTTTTATTTTTTATTCGTTACAACTATTATCATTTTATTCTGTGAATAGTCATTAAAATGAAAGACAGAAAAGTACAGTTTGATTTTTTAGTTAATTTGTACTACATATTTCATCAGGTTTCCGGCAACTGTTGCAGCTGGTCCACGCTTATACGATGCTGAATATTTTATCTTTCTATAATATATGTAGGAAACAAATAAAAATATAGTTTGGTACAGTAAAACCTGCATAAATTCAACCAAGATTGGGACCCAGTGGTTGCATTTATCTAAGCATTCTTTCGTTGCATTTATCCAGGTTTTACTGTAATTGTTATAATACAGTATCAACTGTTATACTTATTAAAAACTTATCTTATTTTGCGTAATTATTCTGCATTTTCGCTTCCTTGCTTTGTAATGATGAATGACTGATTTCTTTTTCAATGAAACTCTTACTAGTGTATTTGTGAGATTTTTCGATTAAAACAAGATCAGACATGGTATAATTTGAATTAAAATTTTAAATAAGTATAAATAATGCAAATTATATGGTGTTTGGTCTTATTTTAATCAGAAGAACCTTACAATTACATTGGTAAAAGTTTCATTTAGCAAAAATGAAAAATAAAAAGGTTATGGTTAAATTAATATTGTCTCACTCAAATGTTTTTTTTCGGGCCCTTTAATTCTCGGACCTCTTTCTCTTTTGCTATTTGTCTTTTTCTACATTCGCCAGCATTCAAGAACTCGCTCGAGCTGTGTCTTTCTGCCAGCGTCGCACACGTTCAGGAGAATCGGGAAAATCCAGCATAATAACACATTCTATGCTGAATGAATATACTAACTTATCTGTCTAAAAAAATTTTAATAATTCTGGCAATAGATTTATTTTCTGGCTGCTTTTCTTAAGTAATCAGAATTTCACCATTCTCCTGTACAGATCGTGTGTAGCAGTTTGTAGCAAACTCAACATATTTTCGATATTATGTAGAATACACAACCGATCGACAAATATTAAAAATCCAGGATATTATGTACCGCTTTTTATATGTCAAGGGCCATCAAAATGAAATAAATGACCAACAATGAATAGTATAATAAAGGTGATCGCTGTTCATCTATTTCCTTTCTACGATGTACAGGATTGCCTCGAAATAAGCAAGTGGCTCGGGATCGAACAGTTGCTTATTTCGAAGCAGAGACCACTTGCTATTTCGAGGCAATCCTGTATTTCTTCCACAAGAGACGGTTTCCTAACAATTTACACTACAGTAAAATCTGGATATACATATGCAAGAGAGATTGTGATCCAAGCGAGGTGTCGAATCTCGGGTTACGCGCGACGCCAGTGTTACGACGAGCCGCCTAAACGTACGTTAATCGAATTCTTCCCACGATCCCACCATTTAATGTTTCATTTATTCAAGCAAGGAGTCGATTCTGGGCATTTAATGTTTCATTTATCCAAGCGAGGTGTCGATTCTGAGTCCGTACACATGTTTTCTTTGCAGCCGACATGCCGATTCTGTGTCCGTACACATCTTTTATATTCAGCCGACATCATTTATATTCAGTCGTGGTCTCAATTCTATGTTGTTTATTCTATTACTATTGTTTATAAATATAATTCAACCTATATCGAGTTTGGTATCATTTTAATCAGAAAAATCTCACAAATGCATTAGTAAAAGTTTCATTGAGAAAAAGTTAAAAATAAAAAAGTTTTATCGTTGAATTAGGATTAGTCACACGGATATTACGGTCGGATCATATTACACTGTTTCCTCGTCGAGCGGCTCGGTTCGCCTAGGGGGATCCCCCCAAGTGGAGGGGATAGCGATGTTTCATTTATCCAAGCATTCTTTCGTTGAATTTATCCAGGTTTTACTGTACCCAGGTTTTACTATACTGTAAATTGTTAGGAAACCGTCTCTTGTGGAAGAAATACATCGTAGAAAGGAAATAGATGAACAGCGATCACCTTTATTATACTATTCATTGTTAGTCATTTATTTCATTTCAATCGCCTTTAGCATATAAAAACGGCACAAAATATCCTGGATTTTTAATATTTTTCGATCGGTTGTGAATTCGACGTAATATCGAAAACATGTTGAGTTTGCTACAAACTGCTACACACGATCCGTACAGGAGACTGGTAAAATGCTGATTACTTAAAAAAAGCAGCCCGAAAATAAATCTGTTGTCAGATTTATTAAAATTTTTTTAGACAGATAACTTAGTATATTCTTTCAGCATAGAATGTGTTATTATACTGGACTCTCTTGATTTTGTGTTACACCCAAATATTCGATGAATAGGTAACGAAAATGTGACGCTGGCAGAACGACATAGCTCGAGCGAGTTCTTGAATGCTGGCGAGCGTAGAAAAGGGCAAATAGCGAAAGAGAAAGAGGTCCGAGAATTAAAGGGCCCGAAAAAAAAACATTTGAGTGAGACAATATTAATTTAACCATAACTTTTTTATTTTTCATTTTTGCTAAATGAAACTTTTACCAATGTAATTGTAAGGTTCTTCTGATTAAAATAAGACCAAACATGACATAATTTGTATTATATCTATTTATTTATTTAAAACCTAATGCAAATATATAAATTAAGTATAATTCAAATTATGTCGTGTTTGATCTTGTTTTAATCGAAAAATTTCATCAATACGCTAGTGGAAGTTTCATTCAAAAGAAAAATCAGTCATTAGTCATTATAAAGCAACGAAGCGAAAGTGCAGC